CTTCATGCCATAATTCTCTGTAGAGATGCAGACAAGTAACTCCTAGCACGGATGATTTGTCATTGGGCAAGCAAAGCAGGAGCTTTACAATTCATGAACATTTCCTCTGCATTTTTTTTTTTATTTTGGTAGGTACCCAAGGCAGCCTAACAAGCATTACAGGAAGAGAAAATAAAAAGGTAATGTTAGAAATGGGTCTCTTTATAAACCACTTAAACAGAAATTCTGGCATCTTTAAGCCACACATTACTATGCTGTGGAGGTAACTGATGAGAGAGGAGCCAGGGGTAGATTGTACAAAAAAGCTGGAGATGTTTAAGAGAAATGAATAATGCATATAGAAAAATGGACAGGAAAACTATGGTCAGAGGGTGAGGTGACCTTCACACATATCTGAGTGAAGTCTGGTTTGCTTGGTTTGTGTCGTATTTTAAATGGGAGAGCAAGAACTTTCATAAGAAAACCCACAAACAAACAAAAACCCCAAAACAACAAAAAAATACTTTTAGTACTCTCTACCACCTGTTTCTGATGCTGTAATAAAAAGATTACAGCCTCTCTTTTCATGTAATTCTTAGTCAGAGCCATTAAGTTTTATCTTTCTTCACTTTCCTCTTGAGAATAAGCATCTTTTGCTACCAGGGACCCTCAGTTTAGCTCAACACCCATTCACGTTAGACTGTGGGAAAAAAAGCGGCATGTTTACCAAAGTCCTGAGAAATGGAAGAGGAAGTACAGTCCTTGAGTCTGAAGAGACTCTTAGTTTGTCCATCTTGATTTGTATAAAAAAGCATCAGCATTGGAAAAAATGGGTATCTGAGAAAACAAAGGAGATGAGTAGCTCTTAAAATCCCCTCAGCACCTAAGTGAATCCTTCTAAGATTAATGTGAGGAAAAAAGACTTTTTTAAAATAAAAGCTGCATGCACCAGCGCAGTGTTAAGATCACAGGATGGTTTGACTGCAGTCAGTTAAGGTGTACCACGTTCCAGTCTGTGCGGAGTGTGAGTGTATCTGACCGTGGATTAGCTTTGATTCAGAAACACTGGCAGTGTTATACCTCACGCTATATGGTTGCTTATCAGGATTTCCCTGGTGGGCCCTGCCTGTGAGGTCCCATGAAAGGCAGCTATCTTCAGATCAGCCCTCTGCCCCGGTGCAGCTGCGTGCGTGCTCCGAGCCAGTGCCCACTTCTAGGGGAAATCCTGCTAAGTGCTGTCAGAAACATGTGTCTGTCTGCTTGCTGTTTGTATGTTTGTATTGTATCGTGTTATTTCAGCATTGCCTGATCCTGAAATAATCTATTCCAAGCCAGAAAAGTGTTGTGATGAGCTACGACACATGAATGCAGGTTGCACTGTGCCAAGCTGGGAGGCAGGAGGGACCCCGGACAACCTCACCACCTTGCCAAGAAGGGCTTAACCACATTGGAAAAGAGGCTATGACTCATGTAAGAGGGGGTGTAAACCTTTAGTAGCTGCAGTCCCAAATCCATATGCTGCTTTTCATTCAGAGCACCTCTATTTTGCCTTGGCAACAGTGAAGTATACCCTTAATTTGACCCCCCCACCAAGTGCTGTGTGTATTTCAGGGCATCTGTCTTAAAGCAGGCTCTAATATTAGAGGTTGCAAGTAATAATGACAGAAGTAGCAAAGGAGGAATTGGATGTTATTTAGCACTACAGTTTTGTTTTATGAACAAGAATATACGTATGTTTGACCATGCCAGGAGCCAGCATTCAAGAGAGATGATGTGTGAACTCAGACGTGGGGTCACAAGAGGAGATTGCCAAACTGCTGTGCTGTGGGCAGGCTGTATTGCTCGGAGCAATGTGTTTCAGGAGTCTGCCAACCTGGGATGATGGGGGGAAATGAAGATGAGAGAGGTCTCTGGGAAAGTAAATCTGGGAAGGAAAATAAACCTGTCAAAGAGGAAAAAAAAGTCAGCAATTGTTGGGGGGAGGAAGTAGCCTAGAGACTGGGAAGAGTATAGAAGAAAAAAAGATGGTGACATGCAGCCGAAAGGGTAAGAGAAAGACAAAGGGAGAAACAAACCTGGGAATCAGAGGAGAAAGGGGAAGAAGAGAAAAACTTCAGAGATTTATGGGCATTATACACCTGAAATTTATGGTTTTACCATTTGTCTGCTACACAACAAACAGTTGCTTTTAGATACGGCCTACTGTAGATTTTTAGGATAGGTTTTCTCCCCCCTACTCCTATAAACTAACATTAAAATAAGGAGACTTCATGGACTTCTTTATTTTGATATGTTTATTCCACCCATATTTATTGTTGAAGGTACATTTCCATTAACAGCAATATCTGAATTAATGGTGCTGGAAGGATCCCACAGCTCTTTAGCAATGAAAGGGCAACATTTGGAGCCAGGAATAACTTGTGCAACTCACAGATTGGGGAAAATAGCATGAAGATGCACGCAGGTTGGAGAAAGGCTGAAATTTCCTGTGCTAGGAGACCAGGGCAGAAGAAGACAAAGTGACTGGATTGCAATATTGCATTCAAAAAACTTAATTCCTACTCATTGCTGGGATTTGGCTCATGACTTTGGGAGCTCGGTCAAAGAGCTAATGTGTTGGTGTGAAAAGAAAAAAGGTGCGTAGGGGGCAATGGAGGAGAATAAGGACACGTGCACAGACGAGCCAGGAACAGGAAATGTGTCCTGCTCCACCAGGATCTTATTCTGCCTCCCTCCTTTCATCACCTCCAAATTGTGCTCTGTGAGTGAGGAATCAATCAGAGACTCTGGTCCTTTCAGCCACGGGTACTGGAGGCTGCAGGGGGCTGTGATCTGATTAAGGCATTGTTGAAAACAGCTTTTGCCTTTCATCTGGAACCCCCTTCCTCAGGCTGAACCAGCAGGAGCAGGTGAATGGTACACGTACGTTATGTGGGCTCTAAAGGTACCAGAGAACCTACATTTACCAAAAAAAAATTGCCTTTTAAAGTGCATACAGAGCTGTGAAGCAGACTGTCTTGCTTTGCAGTGTCAGTCAGCAATATTCACATCCTGTGTATTATTAAAATATGACTTCTTATTTTATTTAAACGACAATTTTTAAACTATGTCTTGTAATAAAGCCAGACTTTCAAATGGTATAAAATACTTCACAAATATATTTTCTGCTCTCACTGTTCCAGATAAATTCAAAAGCAGCAACAGTTTTTCCTTCAGTTTCAACACACAGGTCAGGCTTGTAAAGAGTCTCATTCTGCATCCTTAAGTGAAGTAAAATTTTCATTTCAGTATTATGAATTAAATCCCATAATTTAATTTAGTGGGTATTTGCAAAAGGTCAGATCAATGTCAAGAGTCTCAACACCATTCCAGGAACAGTGCTACTTTATTGATGTGTCAGGCAAAACATTGTTTCTGTGGATTGTGTATAAATAGTGTTTAGATTTTTTTTAATTTCCTGTCTGTGGACAGGCTGGATGCAAAAAAAGTAATAGCCAAAGTTGTGTGCTAAGTTGTATGGCTAAACCATTTCAGGCAATAACTGAGTGCAGAAACATGGCTCTGGGTGCCTGGAACTCAAACAACATTTCCAATTTAAAATCATTCTGTAAAGAGATCAGATTTTCCTGATTAAAAACCTCGAGATTGGTTATATTTAATAACCACATCTACATTTCACGCTGCGCTCAAATTTAATCTCTGTCTAATAACAAGCTTTTTAAATTATATTGACCCAGCTAGAAGACAGAAGCGTCTCCCACAGGATATTTTCCCAAAACACAATAAATGCTACAACTTCTGCTGAGCGCCAGAGAGCAAAGGGCATGACCCAAACACCCACACTCACCCACGCACTGCATGGGAAAACCTGAATTCCTTGCTCAATAAACTACCAGCAGTTACAGCATTCAAAGATTATTTTTTTTCTGTGTTGATTCTGTTTACAAATACATGTAGTTGGAGAAAATAGTTGTTCCAAAGTTTAGAAAAGCTGTGTTTTCTGACAGTCTTTCTGCCTTTGCTCGTTGTGGGTGCTGTTTCTGCCTTTCTGTGTCCCATAGCTTCTGTTTTCATGTAGGCAGTCCCACAACAGCAGTGACTGTCAATATCTTTGTGAAATATCTTACTGCCATGGCCATTGTCCTGCATCTTCAGTCCTGTGTTTTTTGGAAAATGACCTCTTTGCCTTTATCCCAAGATTTTACCCTTGTGATAGTTTCCACGCAAGCCTTTGGGGCTCACCTAAGACCCTGCCGCCTGCACGCGTGGGTGCTTGCAGCAGCACAGAAGAAAGCCACTTCTTTGTGCGTTTTCTATGAGATTCACTTAAACCAAAAATACATGAAATTATGTTAACTTAGGTTATTGCCTAAATGAAGAATGCATTTCATCCACAAAGTCACCAACATTTATTTTCATTTTATTAAAAAAAAAAATTACTTAAAAGCACTATTTTGACACGGACAAGCCCATTCTCCTCACCTCAAAATTCTTCTTTTAATTGACTGTAACACCAAGATGATCTCAACATGTATCAGCTCAGCAAAAACAATGTGAAAAAAGTACTACAAAGGTAAAGGAAAGATTTTGATTATGAGGCATAGATATTGAAGTGAAGACTGCAATACGTGTATTCATGTTTGAGGAGAGTCTGTTAGCATCTTGGAAATTTTAAGACATACTGAGAACTGCAGCCAAAAACTGAGCTAAGCTGTGGATGTAAAGGACATCAATTTTTACAGGAGAATTTATGGCAAATAGAGCATCTTCTATGGCTTTTTATAAAGTTCCTTATCTTTAAAGAGCCCTCTTCCTCCTTTGTACTTCTGAAGGGAAAGAGATACAAAGCTCAGGCAGTGATAGCACCCATTTCCCATAAAATTCTCACTGTTTACTATCAGCTGAAGTGTTTCATTACCTCAGAACTAAATCAAGTTCAGCTGATGCCGCAGTCACTTTCCAAGACCAGATGGTTAATACTTGAATTTCTATAGGCCGCTCGTTGCCTCTTCTGAAGTAGTTCAGGGGGGTGCAGATGCGTTCATGTGCGTGTAAGAACATTTGGAGAGTGAAGCCCTTGTTGTCTTCCCCTCCTCTTCATCACCAACCTCTCCCTGTATTGCAGGGGACTTTTGCTTAGCACAGCAGGTGAAGGTGGCTAGAAAACCCATGCGGAAGCGCTTGTTCATAAAGCAGTATATGATAGGGTTCACGCAGGCAGAAGTGTAGGACAACAAGTGGATGAAGGAGATAGGAGCTCCTGAGAGACGCTGGTCGGCCGATGCGGTGTCAAACGCACGCCAGGCATTGACACTGAAGATAGGAGTCCAGCAAAGGAAAAACAAAATCACGATCACCATCAGCATGCGGATGACGAGTTTCTTGGCCATTAAGTTGGCAGAAGAGCTGTTGCTTCTCACCCTCTCTATTTTGCTATGGCTGGTAGCAGAGAGCTGTTGCAATGGCATTTTCCTTTTTCTTTTGGTTTTGTTGAGGTAGCATCCATCTCCATCCTCATATTTGATGCTGCAGGTACTTATTTTTCTTTCTGCACATAGAAATTAGTACTTAAGTAGTTGGCAAAATATCTCTGAACAGTGTCTCAAAATACAAAACAAACTATGGAGTCTAAGTCTTAATAAATAACATAATTTCTGGCTGAACAACTGCTGCAAAGAAAGCACTGTCCTAATTCTGAGTCGGTTGTGTATCAGCTGCTCTCCGTCTGCTATCTGCCAGTATTTTCACATCTCAACTCCACACAAATTGATGCAGAAGATGTAAGAACACTGCTTGCTCAAGTATTTACATAAGATAATTTTCAAAATTATATGTTTCTATCTTAATTTGACTATTTTTGTTGTGGTGTTTATTTATAGAAGTGGTCCTCAGCCATGGACAGAATAAAACCTTGGTATTTCTATAATAAGCCCATTAGAAATTTAACATATTCTGCCCAGAGTCTTTGCAAACAAGCCATAGGTGGGGAATTATTTGTTGGTGAATAATGAAATAACTCCAATCAACAAAGGCATCTGGCAGTTCACAAACATAACTGACTATAATTGGTATTTTTGCAAATAGAAAATTTTGCTTTTAGTAGCCTCAAGATGACTGCTTGTATCTTCAACTCTGACTTATAAAAAACCCCAGAACTAAACTTAAATGTATTGTTACCTCGTGAAGATTTTCTCTGACTGGTATCAAATTTTATTCCTCTGTAGAGTTCCAAAGAAATGAGGCCATACGCAACCATCATTATAATACCAGGTATAAGAAAGAGTATGAGTAGCAGGAAAACATACCTAAAGAATGAAAAGACAAACTGTGACCAGGGGACAGCACAGACCCAGATAAACTCCTTTTTCTCCAGATGAGAATTGGCAGAGTGGGAGTGAAGATATGGATTTAAAGATTTTGCTAATTTTTTTTCATTATAAGCATTATTTTGACTGCTCTGGAAATGAGAAGCCACCCAGAGAAATACAGCAGGAACAATGCTAATGTGGCTGCAAAACACCCATCACCCAACCTGCACAGGCCCAGAGGAGATGAGCACTCCCGGTGTGGGTAAAGGGGGCAGAGGTCTCTTTGTCTATGAAGTGGAGCTCTCGGCTGTAACCAGGTGAGCACTGGATGCTCTGTTGCTTTGAATGATGTAAAATTTGTCTTGCAGAAGCCAAATGAGCAGCTGCTGGTTCTCAAAGGAGCCCCTGGTACTCCAATCGCTACTCAGTGAGATCTGACTTGCCAAGGGTGGTGGCACACTTGGGCAGGGACAGAGCAGCCCCCACCTGGGCTTTCATCCTTGGGGCCATGCAGAGCCCCTGAGGAGGGATCCCAGGGCCAGCAACCTTCCCTTCGCTAAAGAAAGACGCTTTTACTTGGTTGCATATCTGTTACTCTCCTAGGCAGCTTCTCTAATGGGATTAAAAGCTGGGGAAATAATTCTGTTTAAATGCATTCATAAGCCTACATCCCTTCTGCTCCCTGGGACTTTGGTGCAAACTCATTAACGCACCTGGGAATCTGCAATGACACCATGGAAAACAGAATTATTCCCTGTAACTTCCCTCCTCATCTGTACATACTCGCAAATACCTGAGACTACCAAAAACATTCATACAATTCGCTGTGTTTGTGGATACACCACGCTGAAGTGGCGCATACTTTCAACTTGTTCCCAGTTCCAACTGACCTTAAGTAGTGAAAAAAAATCTTACGTCTTCTCAGTGCCAGTTAAAGCATTTGGTCATCGTACAAGGACATGACGTCTAAATAATATTGTTGCTTGGTAGTACTGCTATGGACCTGTAGGACTTGGAGCACTGTCTCTCCCCTCATCTCTCTGCTCCTGTTCTCTGTAAATGACCACCAAAAGGGTTCAGTTCTCAGGAGTGGCATTTATGATCTCTCCAAGTTCTTGTATTTTGCAGACAGAGGAGCACTCACATGTATTTGTGTTTTTCAAAGATTAATCAGTGATTTCTCTGAAAATATTTAAATTTATGTATAAACATGTGGAAGCAGTATTCCTACTCGAAGAGTGAGAGATGCTTTCTTTATAGCAACAGTAGGGGCTTAGCAGACCATAGTGTGTGACAATCATTGCCGTGTTGGGTAGCACTCCTATGACAAGGGAAAAGTCAAACAAGTGTCAAAATGTAAGCAGCTTAAAAATATGATTTTATTTTTTTTTTACTTCTTAAATAAGCATGATAGAAGTGTAGATGTCTGCTGAAGGTTAATATCGGATTTTCAATAGGCTTAATGCTACCATGAAATCCTATTTTCCAACAGATACATTTGCTAACAGTCGGTTATGTCTTACCAGGACTGCTGAATGACATCACTTGGCCAAAGGAGCCGACACATATTTGCTGTGGTGTTGTTATACTTGGTAAAAGGTACCAGTTTGCTGTAAATTGGGTACGGTGACATGATAGTAAAGGAAGCACACCAGGTAGCAGCAATCACTTTCAAGGCATGAGATTTTGTCTGCCAGACCCTGGACTGCAGAGGTTTGCAGATGGCACTGTATCTCTCCAGAGATATGGCAACCAAGTTGAATGTAGATACACTTACAGAGATACCTATATATAAAATAAAAGTTATTCTCCTGTTTTAAACATTCATGATATTTTTGAATAGTCTTGCCAACTTCCTGTACGCATATAGAAAATGAAAAATAGAGCAAACCATTTATAAACTAACATATTTATAAGTATCATGCTGATTAGGGCAGGAAAGAATGTGTGGGCACTGGGTCCAGGCCTCCAGACTGATGTTCCTGCTCTGCACTTCTCTAACTCCAGAAGTCCAAGAGAAAAAGTTCGTTCTGTCAAACCATGAAATTCTGATAACAGAGAAAGAAGATGCTTCCCCTGCTAATTCTCCTCTTTGCTACTGTGGTTTATATACTCGAGTAATTAACTGAATTTTAAACAAGCATTTGAAATCCATGGGATTATGCTGTTAATTACACTTCTAACTCAGAAGTTCATAGTCCCTATTCTAATGTTCTAATTTTTCTAAGTGTCCTGCTTGACTGGTGATCTGACTTTCTCATTCGAGAGAATTAAATATGCTATCACCTTTTTAATTATATACTAATGGAGTTACAAAGCAGGAAAAATGAAGTCATGAAGCAGAATCCTTTTCCTTCAAGTGCCCTTAATTTCTCCTGCTTGTATATTATAAAATACAATAAACACTGTAAAATACAGTGGTGTGTATTTCTATCACTGAGGAGTCCCAGTTTATCACTGCAAGATTATCAATATTTCTTCTAACTTGATCACAAATTTTTCATTCAGTGGATGAGCTTTCATTTAATAGTCTTTGTGATTGTTCTAATGTGGGTCAAAATATAAAATGCCAATATCTTCACAGTCTCCTTTACACAAATTATATGTAATTTAAAATAAGTCTTCCTACATCTTAAAATGAGAGATTAAGAGAATAGGTGATAAAAAGAATGTCAGTCTCTGTTTATCAACAGAAACCTCTGTTTACCTGAATTGCTAATGGGAAATATCCATTCTGATTCTTAAAATAAAATGCCCTCATAATGAAAAACTTTATGTTTGAAAATATTTCACTGGATTTTTTTTAATAAAGTAATTTACACATTGTGAAATAAGAGAAAGATGACAGCACTTCAGTAATTTTTATGGTATTTATGGCAGCAATTCATTATAATTGTTTAAACATGGCCTTTAGTTTTATTGGCTTTATCTACAAAAATATGTTGATTTCCCATTTGCACACTTTAGGTGCGTACTTTCACATTACATCAAACCTCTCAAGGGCATGAGTTGAAAGGAGACTTAAGGTTTCTGTAGTTAACTGAGGGTCTCCCAAGGTAGCAAAAACTTTACATTATGTTCTCCTTTCTTTTTTTAAACAAGCAAGCAAATGCACAGAAATTATTGAAGGTGAGATAAAATCATTTACACAGACATACATAATCCATGCATTTTGAAACTCTTGGCTGCTGGCTCCACAGCCGAAGGACACATAAAAGGCACAGAAGAGCATAAAAGAGCAAGGCACATAAAAGTGGTGCTTCTTAAAGTCAGCCTCTAAAAACCATATCTGTATTGTGTGGTGTCCTGATCACACCAGGTCTGTTCTCAGAAAGTGCTTGCCCTAACTTTCAGCCCCGCAAATGACACCTACGTTGGCCTATCGGGTTTTTTTCATGTAACACTGCTACCAAAAATCTGAGGGCAAAATCTGCCCTTAGTGAGGATTGTACAATCCTGTAATCCTGATAGGTTCCCAAACACTGCCCATAGTTCCGTCAGTGATGGGTAAGCAAGCGCATGTGCTGGCTTCCTCATTAAAGCCTGATCATGCAACAGACTTCTCACTTAACCTGATCCAGCAAAACATGTCTCTGTGTCATTAAAATTAAGTGGTGCCTCTATGTTTTGCTGGATCAGACTGAGGAAACCAGAACCATGAAGATTTGCACTACAAAGTTGTTTCTTTGTGATTTTGCTAACTATTCAACGGCAGATAGAAACTATCAGCTTTTTTGTGGTCTTTAATGACCCACTCTTGTATCTCATTAGTCAGTCTTCAGAATAAGTATAAACTTCCAAGACTTACCCATGAAATAAGTAGCAGTTTTGCAAACAGCACTACCAAAAATAAAATCTTTCAGCAGGTTGGGAATGAGGGTGAATGGCATGCAGAAAATGCAGAGCATCAGGTCGCTGACTGCTAGGGACAGCAGAAATGTGTTGGTGACTGTTCTCATCCGCTTGTTTCTTATCAGCACTGTAATTACCAGAATGTTCCCCAAAACACTGAGCAGAAATATCAAACAGTACAGCAGAATACGAATTATCTGATGCAAATCTGAAAATTGTCACAAGGAAAAAACGGTTATAGTACACAGCTCAGACTAGTATATGTTTCATCCTTTAGACAAAAGGTAAAAGTCTTTCTATATTGAGTTTTATTAAGGTTTATGTCTTTACACCAATGCAAAATCAGTGGAAGTTCTGAAATTCTTAAAGTTATTCTGATCCACCTGAATTGCATAACATTAAAATATAATACGTGCAATACAATGTACATTTGGTGAGCCAAATATAACTTCTTAAAGCACGCTCTGCTCACACTACTTAGTGTGCACCACTTACCATGCGACCTTCTCCTTTGTGCAGAAGTAAGAAACAATACAGCAATCAAAAATATTTAAATACATGAATTTTTTTCAGCCTCAGAGTGCTATTATTTAATATTTAATCACTTTCATACATGGTATCAGATCAGATAACTCCGTTGTTATTGAATTGCTCAAAAAGTAAAAATCACCTTTCTCCAAGTCATCAGCAGAGCTGTTTACATGTTGTGCCCAATAGTGCTACTCTTTAAGTTTTCCATTATATCCCAATTTTGATTTAGTTGAAATTTTAACTTGGAAAGCCAGCACATAGTCGATTCTTTCCTGTCTGTTTCTCATCCTAACTTATCAGCAAGCAGTGGATTTTGCACTCTCTCACAGAAAAAGCCTTGTGTAGCTGTTTCTTTCCATAGTATCTCTAATTCCAGTTAGAACTAAAACTGCCTGACAAAAATCTATTTTTCTCTACATACCTTTAGAAGAATAAGGTGGATCATTCACACAGAAAAAAGTGTCATTTTCCAAGATGATATCACACAGGAAAGCAGTAATATTGGTACTGTTCCCGAGGAAGCTGGCATCAACTACTTCCATTCTTCAGTATTCACAGGTTAGCTCAGATGAGGAAAAGGGTGGGTTGGTAACTATCTGTCCATTCCTTCAGTAAACAAATACATTTCTGAATGAAATCTTCAGGAGAAATATGAGAGACGCAGTTGTGCAAGAAAGCTCTCCTAACTCTCCATCAGGAACACTCGGCACACAGAGTCCTGTTCAGGCTGAACACAATTTATTTCCACGGCACACAGGGCAGTTTGGAAAAGCCAAGCATGCATGCACATACACACTCACACGTATGCACACACATCCACACACGCACACATCCCCTCCGGTACTTTTTTAGATCCACCCTCTTCTGTTACTGCCCTTCTGTTGGGATTATGAGCAGGCTAGAAAAAGATTACTGCATTAACCCTTTGCAAGATTGTTTCTGCTCACGGCTCTGCAATATTTCTCAGAGGGAGTCTGTATTGCCACGACCAATAAATCACATCCAGTGAGTGATGAGAGTGATAAATCCGTCACTCAACGAACAACATTTAAAATGGTAAGAGCAGCTGAATAAAAGGGCACAGAAGAGAAAAACAGTGAAGGTTTGGCATGCCTCACATGAAAACCATTCTTATCTCTTCACATTTTTTGGAGCAGACTGAAGACTGAGTATGCTCAGAAAAACAAGAGCTGTTACATTTATCTAATTTGGTGAAGTGCTAACTTCATACAAAAGTGTTGTGCATGCCTGATCCAAACCTCAGGAAATCAACAGAAAAACTCACTAATTTCAGTGTTCTTGGATCAAACTGTATGAAAGTATGATATTAGAACTGTCAGATAATATAAGCAGAAGCCCACACATTTTCTCAGTGCAAGGACTTGTATATGACTTGAATACAAACTTGATGAACTGATAAACTGCAGCGCATTAGTTACACGTTAGTGTAAAACGCAACAGTCTTGACTGTTTAAAAGAAACCCTTTCTTCTGAGTTCTGCTTTTTAAATATATAAACATCATCCTTTCTGGTGTTTCCACAAAGTCATGGGCTTTTAACTTTCTGTATATAGCTTGATTACAGCAAAAAATATGTAAATTAATATTATAAATTAATCCCTGCTATAACTCGATTGAAAACAAATTTCACATTTAAACTCTCTTCTAGTTAAATTGGCAGAGCAATAACAGGTTCTAAATAACAGGTTCAGATCCCTTAGAGTTGATATACAAAGACTGGAAGGCCTGGGTTTCTTCTCCAGCCTCGCTCTATAGTGTTATTAACAGGAATGGATACATAGGAGAGCTGACAGAAAAGTTACATCTAAGGTTCTATTTTCTAAATTACCTTTTCCTTAGCATATTAATTATATTTTTCCCATTTTTTAATGGGTTCTTGCAGTTTTTAAAAATCTGAGGTCAAACAATTGAAGCTGGCAATCAGTGCATATGATGCGTAACTTTTTCAACTGAAAGAAACTCAGTCCAGCAGGACTCAACTTCAGCGTTGAAGGTGAAACATACTGGTAGGAAATGAATCCAGAATGTCATGTTCTGGTTTATTTTTCCACCTGTGAATCTCAAAATGGGAGGAAATTATATTGAAGAAATAGAAGTTGAAGTAAGTTTCCATTTTTGCATTGATTGAGCATTAAGCTTGAATGTTAGATACCAACATCTCCAAAAACCCTATATTCTCTTAGGTGCCAAATTTAACCTTTATTTTTTACATAGGTTTCCTATTATTTAATCCATAGATGTTGCTAATCAACTTCTCTGTTAAATGACAAGCATTACCCATTTAATAAAACATTAAAAGTTTTTGCTTGTTGTAGTTTTGAATTTATTTTTAATTATTCCAGCATTTCTTGGACGTTTTCTCTGACAATTTCAAATTACTATAATTTCCCAAGCAGCTGAAATGGCAGCCAAGACAGGAGCTTATTCAGCAGTGGTAACGCACAGGAAAAGTAACAGATGTTTTTTGGGAAGGACTGCTGAACTTAGGTTGCTTTTTTTTTTGCTCTCCTTCATAGACAACAGCAAGATGCAGACTAGCTTGAGCTGCCAAAACTTCCGTTTGACAACTTCTCTTTCCTTTGAAAATTACTTTCTAGAGAGGAAAAATCAACAACAAACTGACTCCGAACAACTTTTGTGGCCTATGTCTCCCTTTCTAAGGTATCCTTTATCCTTAAGGTACTGATCCTGCTTTCCACATACGTATGCAAGTCACTACAATTAAGTCCTTAAATTTTGGATAATATTCTTCTGTTATAAAGTAGCATTCAATCTGAACAAGTCTCAGCTTTACGAAACTTTTCTGTATCAAGAGAAGCTATTATAATTATTTATAATTATTATAATGGCCTGACCTGCTGGAAAACACAGGCTGGGTAATTTGGTTTAGCAATTCTGTTACTGAATTAAATAGCCTGTAATGGAGTTCGGGTCTTTCTGTAAGCAAGATGTCAGATTGTTGTTCTGAGCTTATTCTTAATGTGGAAGAGATCTTTCCAGATTCCTGGCACTTTCTATTAGATCTGCATTAGAGAAATGATTGGATATGTTTTCTGTGGCAGTTATGTTGAATGGCTGATATTAGCAGTATTTCCTTAGTTACTTTTTACCACAGATGTGTTGCTGTCTGTGGTTGGATTCTCTCTCAATTCACTTTTAATCTACAGTTTTTATACTGGTTATACCAGTATAAAATACCACCATGTTTTTTGTGCTGAGGGTTTAATTGCTGGTGTTCTTGTGAGTTATAGCTTGGTTATTTCTGCACCTTGAGGAAGCAACGTCATAATAAAGAGAAAGATTTTTTTGTTTATGTTATCAGAGATACACACAGACTGTGCACTTGCCGTCATCTGCTGTGCTTCCAGATTTGCTAAGATGGATTGAGCAGAGTCTTCCATGAAGTCTCTAGGACCTGGTTGAAAAGAAAAGAAGAAACAGAGTGCATGGAGGTCTAGGGGAGGCACAGTTAGCAATCAGAAGGGAAGACAAGATTAGAGGGTTCATTAGGGAGATTATTGCAACCAAAGAGAGTACACTGGGGCTGTTGTCTCTCACTGTATCATGACAAAGAGTGAATTATCCTTCTGAAGTCAACTTCTCTGTACCCTTCATGATTTTGTCTTACCTGAACATCAAGTTAGTTATTCATTCCTTGTAACAAGCTGTTTCATACCTTCCATGAGCATTGTGGCCCAGGTCTAAAATATTTTCTAGTTACTCTGTAGTCTTTCACAGACACTAACACATAAAGATGAACCAAGGGTTTGAATAACAGCATATTGAATTTCTGTGTTGTTTTTACCTCTGTTCCTTTCCTAATAATCCCTGTAATCCTATTTGCCTTTTTTATGACTAGTGAGAATTGAACTGATGTTCTCATGGAAGAACCTACAGTAAATTCAGTAGTCTTCTTCCTGTATAGTAAGATCTAGTTTAGAGCCCTACACTGTTTATGAAAAATTATAATTGTTTTCTGTTTTGCAGTGATTTTTTTTATTCTCCCATTTTTTCAGAACAAACTTTCTGCAGTTCTTTAAAGTCAGTTTTTGCTGCTTCTCTCCTTCAATGACTTATCATCAACAGAAAACTCTTCTACCTCACCCCTCTTCCCTTTTTCTGGAGCATTTGTGAAAGTGATGAACAGCTGTAGCAAAGCTTCCTGTGGGGCTCCATTCATAATTGCCTTTCACTCCTACTTTTCATTCCTACTTTTTCTTCTCAATCTTCTAATCATGCTGTTCCCTGTTTCACTCCAGACCAATGGCCCACTTGTCCAGGATGTTAAATTGCTTCTGAACTCCTGCTTCCATGATTCTCCTAGTTCTTTCTAGCAAGAAACTCCATGCCACCTTTGCTCCCTCAGCCCAGAGAAGTCTTAAATCATTCCAGGCCTTGGGAAGCTCCACCTAGAGAAGCAATGAAGAGAGAAAACAAGAAGTGATACAGCAGCTCAGCAATGTGGGTTGTACCCACAGCATGAGGGAGTGATGTTTTAAGTTAAAGAAACAAAACATGAAGCCTGAAGCACACATGCCAGTCATTGAAAAACTCAGCATATATTCTACTGAGTTACGAGGACCTTTAGCACCACGGCCACCACTGAATCGTCAGTTCCTCATGGCTTACTGACTCTCATGGTGCTCATGGATGTCAGGAACTTGGCTTTCAAGTAATTGCCTCTGATTGCCTGCCTATAGATAGAGTGCCTTATTGACATTTTTTTCTAGGAAGAGAAGAAAATCAAACCTTTTCATTACACTTTCCCACATACCAGTATAGGTTGGAGACTGACCTGCTGGGGAGCAGCAGAGCAGAAAAGGACCTGGGGGTCCTCAAGGACAGCAGGATGACCATGAGCCAGCACTGTGCCCTTGCGGCCAAAAAGATCAATGGCATCCTGGGGTGTATCAGAAGGGGGGTGGTTAGTAGGTCGAGAGAGGTTCTCCTCCCCCTCTACTCTGCCCTGGTGAGACCGCATCTGGAATATTGCATCCAGTTCTGGGCCCCTCAGTTCAAGAAGGACAGGGAACTGCTGGAGAGAGTCCAGCGTAGGGCTACAAAGATGATTAAGGGAGTGGAGCATCTCCCTTATGAGGAGCGGCTGAGGGAGCTGGGTCTCTTTAGCCTGGAGAAGAGGAGACTGAGGGGAGACCTCATTAACGTTTATAAATCGGTCAGGAGGAAGGAGCCAGGCTCTTCTCAGTGACAGCCAATGACAGGACAAGGGGCAATGGGAGCAAGCTGGAGCATAGAAGGTTCCATGTGAACATGAGGAAAAACTTCTTTACTGTGAGGGTTACAGAGCACTGGAACAGGCTGCCCAGGGAGGCTGTGGAGTCTCCTTCTCTGGAGACATTCAAAACCCGCCTGGACACGTTCCTGTGTGACCTAGTCTAGGTGATCCTGCTCTGGCAGGGGGGTTGGACTGCATGGTCCTTTCCATCTGCTAATATTCTGTAATTCTGTGATAAGTACTGAAGCATGACTGACTCCAGAGGGTACTGATTTCAACCAAAAGCAAGTACAGAATGACTGAGGGAATGCTATCTTGTGCAAAACCCAACAACTGTGTAGTTACAGTTTAGAACAAACCGGATCTTCTTGTTCACAAGCTCAGATCTCTAAAACTGCCAGGTGTGGCTTTCTTCTGTACAATTTGTGCAAGTCATATGTCCAGTGATT